AAATGCCTAATAAACAGTGTTGCCGAGATACGTGAACAGAACTCAGAGCTCACAAAATCAGTCGAGTTAATGTCTAGCAAATATGATCAATTTATTGCTCGTATCGAACGCTTAGAAAATGAGAGAAAAAAGGACAAACAATATATTATGCAATTGGAAGAAAAAGTTGAATTTATGGAGCGAAAGTTACGAGGTTCCAGCATCGAAATACGAAATATACCGAAAATAACTACTAATAAAATTGAATCAAAAGACGAACTCTGTGACTTAGTTACGACGATGGGTAAGTCTTTGAAAATTGATATAAATAGTTCCCATATAAAAGACGTCTACAGGATCCCATCAAAAGATTCTAACAAACCTATAGTTACTGAGTTTTCTTCGGTAATGATAAAAGAGAAAGTTTTAGGTGCAGTTAGGAACTTTAACAAAAGTAAGCAGAAGTCCGAAAAGCTGAATACTAGCCATTTGAATATAAAAGTACCCGTTTTGCCTGTTTACGTCACTGAAACACTGACACAAAAAACGCAAAAAATATTCCGCTTGGCTCGTGTATTTCAGAAGGAAAATGATTATGCCTTCTGTTGGACATCACGTGGAGTGGTCTATATTCGTAAAAGTGAAGCTGATTCGCAGATACGGATTGAAAATGAATTAGATCTTAACAGGCTGAAAACCACTTTGTGACTGTGTCATGTTGTAAGACTTTATTTATCAGTTCTACCTAAAGAAAAAAAAGGATTTCTTTTGTTTATTTTGAAACTTAAAATATGTGGGTACAATTCTGTTTATAAAGTATTTTATCCTTTTAAATATGGTACCTTTTGTAAAACTATTTTAGAAATAAGTTCTTTGCAAGTATGTTTTAAAATCTTCTTGTTGTACTTATTCTTTTATATTACATTTTTGATACACACAAAAGTACAAAACCAAAACGCTATTAAATATTTTACACACTCAAATACACAAAACAATACACTATTATTCAATAAATTATCTCCAAAATACAAAAAATACATGACACACTTTGATACACTAAATTACTGTTACATTTTGTATAAAATGGTATTACTGTCTACAAACCTATATTACATAAAGGTCACCTTATGGTACACTGTTACTACCTATTTTTACAGTGTTACTTAACGATATATATAATGAGCTAGACTCTTTATCACAGGCTTCCTCCTTTGAGTGCGACGCCGACAACGTATTTACTTGTGTCAAACAGTCGAAGTCATCTTTTTCTATCTTGACACAAAACATACGCAGTTTAAATCGTAACATGCCTGCATTTGAAGTCTTACTAGCTAACCTTAAAGTATCCTGTGATGTATTAGTACTAACTGAATGCTGGTTATCGTTCACGCCAACTATTCCAGTCCTTAATAGCTATAACTCTTTTTATACAAAAACTAACTTAAACCAAAATGATGGAGTTGTGGTTTTTGTCAAGGATGATTTGATAGTAAATGTTTATGAGCCGAAATTTCAGGAGGCAAACTGCCTCGTGATGGAGTTTTCTCACGAACAGGCTGTTATAGCTATCTATAGATCACCATCTTTTAAAAATATTGACACCTTTCTATCATGTCTAGACGAATTATTGCAAAAGTTATCTTGTTATAAAAATATAACTTTAATAGGAGATATTAATATACCTATAAACAATGAAAAGAAAGATTTAAATGCAGATCGCTACCTTAATCTACTTGCGTTTCATGGTCTTTTCCCAGGACACACACTAGTTACTCGCGATTCTAGTGGCACATGCTTAGACCATGTGATGCTTAAGTCAAAATATAAAACACTAACATTAGCAGTTCAATCAACACTAACCGACCATAAAACTATTATCCTTGATATAGAACGTAACATTAAACGTGAAATTATTAATAATACTGTAACTAAAGTAAATTATGCTCAACTTGATATAGACTTAACAAATATGAACCTTAATTTAGTTTACAATATGAAAGATCCCAATCAGGCTATGACTTACCTAGTTGATAAAATAGAGGATATGATTAATAAAAACACAAAGATTTTGACCTTATCAAAACGGAAAAGTATACTTAAACCGTGGATTACAGCAGGTTTGCTCAAATACATTAAAAATAGAGATATTTTACATAAAAAATCGAATGCTGATCCAAAAAATATCATATTAAAAATAACGTATACTAGGTATAGAAATTTTTGCAATAAAATCTTAAAGAACGTCAAAAGATCTTATGAGAGGCAACTCATACACGATGCAGGAAATGATAATAAAAAACTATTTAATGCTATAAAAGAAATCACACACTCTACTAAAGATAAAAAATATCCCAAGGAATTACTTAATTTAGCAAGTTCTCCTAAAGCATCAGTTGATTTAATTAATAATCATTTCGTTAATATTGGGAAATCTTTGGCTAGTATTTTAGAGAGCGAGCACTCTGTTAGAACAAATAAAAAATTAAAAATAATGCAAGAAAGCAGGAATGAATCATTCGTCTTGCTGGATACTAACTGGAAGGAGATTGAATCACTTATACTTAGTTTAAAAAGCGAATGCTCTGTAGGAATTGATAAAATCACTAATAAAATCTTAAAAAAACATAAAAATATTCTGATACCACCATTACTGTATATATTTAATATGTGTCTTCAGAATGGTATCTTTCCAGATGTGCTAAAAAGATCAGTGGTTTCCCCTATATATAAAAGTGGTGACAAAGGCAGTATGTCAAACTATAGACCAATATCTATTCTACCATCGCTTTCAAAAATTTTGGAAAAAATTATAAATAATCAATTAGTAAATTATCTTGAAAAAAATAACATATTATCAGATAGACAATATGGTTTTCGCCGAAATAAATCAACAAATGATGCTGTTTTAACTCTCACTGATTTTATAGCCTCATCTCTTGACAAAAATAAAAAGAGCATTGCAATATTTTTGGACTTAGCGAAGGCATTTGACACAGTATCTGTCTCATTATTGTTACTTAAACTTGAGAACATAGGTGTACGTGGAAATCAGCTAAAATTGTTCGAAGACTATCTAAAAAATCGCAAGCAATGTGTTAAAATAGGTCCACATGTAAGTGATAGTCTTCCCATAGAGTATGGTGTGCCGCAAGGAAGCATCTTAGGGCCGACGCTTTTCCTCGTTTATATAAATGGATTATCTGAGGTAAAATTGCCACATGGTGAAATTATTTCATATGCGGATGACACTGCTCTTGTGTTTTCTGATGTATCTTGGGATAAGGTTTTTGGCAATGCTCAAAATGGTTTTAACATTATAAAAATGTGGTTATCTGAAAATAAACTAACATTAAATATTGCAAAAACTAAATATATCCAGTTTTCAATTCGACAAGCTACATTAAATAAAGAATATAAAATTTTAGCGTATGCCCGCTCCTCGTGTGATCTGGATTGTTCTTGTGTGAGCCTTGAAAAAGTAAACAGTTTAAGATACCTTGGGGTTATTATTGATGCTCACCTCGATTTTCGTGAACATATTGAATTAGTAAGTGCTAGAGTACGTAGACTTATATATATCTTCAAAAACATTAGACACATTTTAGAACCAAACCGCTTGAAACAAATTTATTATGCATTGTGTCAATCTCTTCTTACTTACTGTATAGTCTGCTGGGGTGGGGCGGCAAAAACAGTACTTAAGAAATTAGAAATCGCACAAAGGGCAATACTAAAAATCTGTACTTTTAAACCTTTTATCTTTTCAACAACTGAATTGTATAGTTATTGTGATGTTCTTACAGTCCGCCAACTTTTTATTTTGAACCTGGTAATCAAACAACATGCTCAAACAGAATTTAATCCTAAAATGCAATCTACTCGCAGAGGATTCATATGCCAATTTAAAAACAGGTTTTCGACTGCTTTTAGTAATAGGTTCCCTACATTTCTAGGACCTCTAATCTATAATAAAATAAATAAAACACTAAACATATATCCTCTAACTATTTATAAATGTAAAATGACAATAACGTCATGGTTAAAAACACTTACATATGATGAAACAGAAAAAATATTGCAGGTCATTAAATAATTTAGCTCATATGTAACAATACATAATAATATACATAATGTAGTACAGTCCATACCATACATATCATATTATTATACGCAAAACTCACTAGCACACACACACACACACACACACACACTCACCACACACGCACACACACACACATTTTTTGAATATATATGTCAGTTTCTTGTCCATTCCATTCCATTTAATTTTGAATGTAACGGATTTATAATACCATATGTGCTAAGGGGATTGGCGCTGTATGCCGTAATACAGGCATTTTTGCCTAGCTCGGCAGCAGATAAATATGTAATTATGTTAGAGATATTAGTACTGTTTTAGCCTTATAAGTTAAATTGTAAATCAACTCTTACTGGAAATAAATTATATTATTATTATTATTATTATTATTATTATTATTTGACAGTATTAAAAATAAAGTGCCAATTGTTAGTATCTGTGTTAAAAATAAATATTGGCAGGGGTTTTTTGTATTTTTACAAAAAAAAATATTCATAATTTTACTAAAAACTAACGAAAAAGATAATAGTTTCTGTCACGTGACCCAAATCGCTTGGGATTGGCGGAGCCTAAAATGACGTCACACGCAAGTAAAGTTCTTGTTAAAGTGACATTACATTGTATCGTTTGACGTTTTAATTACAGTCGTGTGACGTCACACACTAGTAAGACGCCATATTGTCCAGAGAAACGTTTTCTCGGCAACTTGAAAATGGAGTTTTTGATTTGGTTATTTTTACTGAAATACACAACAAAATGATGAATATCCTCTTTTTACGGACTCCATAAACAATCATCAATAACGTGAGATCGTTATCTAAAATTTGTCAAATACCCTATTGTAGAAAAAAATACACTTTATAATGATATGTTGGTATTTGATAAATTTTCATTTAAAATACAAATGCTTTTGTGCACATTTCAGGTGATGGCACCGCACAACCGCACGGCTATTACTCATTCACACTGGACGTGAAGAATAAAACGAACAATTTCGAAGAGAGACTGACACAATACTTTAACCACATCGACGAATTAAAGTCAAACTCGGACAAAGACGACATTAAAACAACTATAAAAGTTAATACAGAAAACACCAAAGAAGTAACAATAGAAACGCAGAAACACAAATTCGATAAACATGACAAACGAAACAAAACTCGTAAAACATCTAATAACAAAGAAAGACATGTACAAAAACATATTGATGCTGAATTTGAAACACTCGAAAAACTAAATAAAGAATCCAATAACTTTAAAAGAGAAAAACGCATTACTCTTGATAACGTTAAATTTATCAGTGACGATATTTCAAAATTTAATGACGAAGTAACCAGAAATAGTGATACTAAACCCCACAAACGAGAAAAGAGGTTCATATCCTTTTTTAGAAACGACAATGATGAGAATTTCTTGTTGAAAATGCTAGATTTTCTGGTGAAGAACAGAAAGAATGTACTACCAGTTGTGACTGTTATGAGGGAGATTAATACTTTAGTTAAAAATGCGAACGGTGAATTGAGTCATTTTACGAAAGAAAGGAACAACTATATAGGTGCACCGCCACCATTAATACCGATCACTTACGACTTGGAAATAGGGAATGAGTCTAAAATAACAGCCTTTATGAAGAAGCTGCTGGGTTTAGGCAGCAAAGGGGGTAGATTGTCCATCACTGGGAGCGGATAATGAGGTAATCCTAGACAATCTATAAATAACTTAAACCTTACTAATTTACAGAATGCATTCACAAATAAGTTAAGGATACACATACATATTAAAAATATTCAACTTTGGAGCAAGACACAAGACTACCTAAAACAAAGCTTCATATCTTTATATCAGTTTCTAGCATTTAATATGAACAGTAATTTTAATCATGGTTAGATTTTGTTTTCTTTTTTTCTTTTTTATTTTAAATCTTGTAATTGCACATTTGCACGAATTTTCATTAAAGAGGGGTCTTTAATGAAAATTCGTCTCTCCATCCTATGGTTGTCTGGAAGAAATGGCTACATAGCCATAAGACCGCCAATTGTCCACCTATTTAAATTAACGTCCACACTTTGTAGTTTATAATGTGGTGTGTTCAATTAAGTATTATTTATCTATATTTTTGCATGGGGATTGGGGAAAACCATCAGTGGTACCATAGCATGAAGACTGGAATCACTCTCTCATAATCACTGCTTTTATAGGGAGGGTATAAAGGCCAAAGGGGAAGATATTCCCCCGAGCTGGGTGATGGTAGCTCGGGGGCCGCGGCCCGACCTTTTTTTTTTTTTTGAGCGTGTATGCTGTTGGTCGCAGATGACCTTTCCAGCGTCACCGGGTTTGGGGACGGCGAGATCCTAAGGAGACCTCAAGGCGAGAATTGGCGAGTGCCTCTGGATGTATTCCAGTCGGATGGCGTCTCCCCGGGGGGAGTCTCCTCTCCGTCTGGAGCCTCCAGACCACTCGAACCTGAGGGGGTCGGCTCAACTAGAGGGCGTTTCTGAGACTCGGACCTCGGCTCTAGTTAGCCGTTGTCGTGGGGGGCGGCGAAATACGGCCCGACTGATATTGGTCGGGCATCATATATATGGAGTGTTAGCCTCCGAATTTTACTTGCGCGATTTACGTTTCCACACGATGTGAGCGAAGCGCCAGTAACGCCATTTCTTGAGAAGGAGAGTGATTATTTTGACGACCTCCGTGGCCGAGTGGTTTGTACGCCGGGTTTCATGGCTGTCGCCGACTCGAGAGGTCCCGGGTTCGAATCCCGGTGGGGGCAGATGTTTGTGTGATGAATACGAGCATTTGTACTCCAGTCATGGATGTTTAATATGTATTTATATAAATATACTTATATATGTACAGTATATGTATTCCATCCGTTACCCTAGCATCCCATAACACAAGCCTTATAGTGCTTACTTTGGGGCTAGGCTAATTGGTGTGAGTGTCGGAAATATTTATTTATTTCCTCCATGTTAGTTATATGTGGGGCATGTAGATGTCGCCGCCTCAGGGAGGGAGGGATATCAGTGACATTTATAACAACGTCCTGCATAACACTACTACCATTATTTATCAAATATATGATAAAGTCGTTAACAGTAGGATTGAGCAATGTCTTCGCCACTGTCTAATTATTCCTGTTTTACTTCAAATTATATATATAATATATATTGAGGCCATAAGAACCATAGCTGCCTAACTCATTTTTTACAATATTTAGCTTTTGATATTTCCAGTTCAAATTGATCATTTTATTAGAACCAGAGTGATCTTAAAGTGATACAACGAATATTCACTAGATGGCAGCATAATCACTGTTACGGTTTATAGTCTGTGATCTAAATTTGAGGTGCCATACTGACCTAAGTATATTATATATATATATATATGATATCAAACCTACTGTTATTTGATGTTAAATGTTAACTATGGATGACCCACCATGCAGGCCCAGGGCAGATGCAGCCGGGACCCGCCAATCCGCACTGGGCCCGCGTGGTGGGTCATGGCCCAATCTCCCTATTCCATCCATAGGGAAGGCCTGCGCCCCAGCAGTGGGGACATTAAGAGGCTGATAATGATGACATATTTATAAATTTATTTATATTTCCAGAGCCCGTGGAACGTACTTCCTGATGACTAAGAGGCAGTCGCCCTACTCAATCGAATGAAGTCAATACATAGTTTAAAAGACAAAATAGTATAATGTTTCAAACCACTCGTTAATAGTTGTTTTGATGTATAATAGGGATGATGACTAAAAGTATAGGACACTTATTTTTTCACATAATAGGGTATTTGACAAGTTTTAGAAAACGATCTCACGTTATTAACTTATGTTTACGGAGTCCATAAAAAGTGGATATTCATCATTCTGTTGTGTATTTCAGTAAAAATAACCAAATCAAAAACCCCATTTGCAAGTTGCCGCGAAAACGTTTTTCTGGACAATATGGCGTCTTACTAGTGTGTGACGTCACACGACTGTTATCAAACGATACAATGTAATGTCACTTTCACCGGAAGTTTACTTGCGTGTGACGTCATTTTAGGCTCCGCCAATCCCAAGCGTTTTGGCTCACGTGACAATAGATAAGAAAACTATTATCTTTTTCGTTAGTTTTTAGTAAAATTATATATTTTTTTGTAAAAATAGTAAAAACCCCTGCCAATATTCATTCTAAACACAGATGCTAACAATTGGCACTTTATTTTTAATACTGTCAAATACCCTATTAATCAAAACATTACATAGATACAGTGCCGGATAGCGGAGCGTGCGGGTTCGAGTCCCGTCTGCTGCCTGGTCAGCGTGGAATTTTCGTTAGATTCAAACATCTAGCAATTGAATGCTTAAACAATATAATAATAACTGACATTTTTTTAAGCATGTAACTGCTTGATGTTTAAATCTAAAGAAAAAATAACTGACATTGACATTGTGGGTTACCTACAATGTGAAGAAATGGCGCTGCCTTAAGAATGGCAAGAAGAATTTCGACGCGGCCGTCAGTGTCGCGGTAGCATAATTGGTCAGTGCATTCGCCCGGATAGCGAAGGGTGCGGGTTCGAGTCCCGTCTGCTGCCTGGTCCGTGTGGATTTTTTTATAGTTATATTTTCTTTAGATATATTTGTTTCAAATGTTGCATGACGTCACGTCTTGGTTCAATTTTTACTCGGAAGTGACGTAGCGAGCAAACTGTAGACGTGCTTTATCGTTGATTATATTTTTTGGTTGATTTTACAAAATAGAAAATAAGTGTCCATTATTTTTTTGATAATGCAAAAGACTAAATACAATTTAATTAAATTCCCTATCATCATTCCTATTCCAAGAGAAACCTAAAAGTCAGACAAAAATTATGATTTTTAGTTCAGTAACTATGTTTAAGATGTAAAATATTAACGAAATAAAGTTTTGTTTTACTGTAATTCATGTTATTTACGGGATAATAACCTTGTTTTTTATGAGTTTCCGATATTTCGGCAATGTTGCAAGCGCCATGGACCACGGAGTAACTGAAGTAATTGCGGGTAGGCTGTTATCGGTGTACCCTCCGGCGATGTCTTTTATTGCGTTCGAACCCGTACCACTGTTCACATTCTCACTATTCACTCGACATTGCTAATTATTGATTACTACGAATTACCCATACAAAGGGCATGGTAAAGTTTTGTATGAGCGACTGCCCTGGCAATTTATAATAATAATAATAAATATTTCCAACACTCACACCAATTAGCCTAGCCCCAAAGTAAGCACTGTAAGGCTTGTGTTATGGGATACTAGGGTAACGGATAGAATACATATACTGTACATATATAAGTATATTTATATAGAAATACATATTAAACATCCATGACTGGAGTACAAATGCTCGTATTCATCATACAAACATCCGCCCCCACCGGGATTCGAACCCGGGACCTCTCGAGTCGGCGACACCATGAAACCCGGCGTATAAACCACTCGGCCACGGAGGTCGTCAATTATTGTACTTTAATATTTAATGTTAAATGGCTGAATATTTATAATTTCTATGAAATAAAGCTCAGGAACTTTTAATAAAGACACAATCTTGAAAATTATGAGAACTCCTACTATGTCATTACCTTACTGCAGTTGATAAAAGATGTTGCCAATTATTTACAGAGTCATCAATTTCGCATTTTCGTAGAAGCGTTCTTCCCATTCCTCTGATAAACTCTTCACAAAAAGCTTTTTAAAGCAAAAATAAATACAAATAATTTGTTATCGTCGGCCTGACAGGAGATCTGTGAAGTTTTATTTTGCCCATTTGCAAAAATTAAAGGATTAATTATCATACAGCCTTGTCTCAAGTCTAATCAGAATAATAAAATCTATATTTTAGGCCTTCCGTGATTTGTTGTAACGAAAATTAGGGAAAATTATGTCATATTTTGAAGGAGATTAGAAATAATATTGTTTATTTCGATATACTTACACAGGTATTTTTTGTGTTCATTCATTGTTCATTTATTTTGTAAAACGGAACATTTTGCTTTTGAAACAGACTTGGAAGACAATTTTTATACTTTTAAATATTGATTATTTCACCTAAGTTGTATGAGAATAATAAACACGTAATAATTAATAAAAAAATATTGTAAAGTGCGGTGCGTTTGTCGTACCGCGTACGGACGATCCTTTTTTTTTTCATACAAAACGCGCGGTGCGGCAACAGTGCGGCGCCGGTACCGCGAACGCTCGACAACAGGACAGTTGCCGCACCGCGTGTTTTGTATGAAAAAAAAGACAAACGCACCGCTTCAGCACTGCAACAGGCCGTCAAGAAACGCATAAATTGAAAGCGCCCTAAGGGCAGTTTCTTAGCCATGTCCCTTTCAACCCTGTTCAAGTTTCATTATTGAGATATTAATGTGAGTTTTCTACACCGGACATACGGTCAGAAGGCCTAACTATATCCGGCTTTATCCGGACGCTTGGCAATACTACCAGTATGTTGGCAAATCGACGTTTCAACGCGAAACGCAAACGAGTGGCGACATCTTGCGGCCAAGTACTACAACGACCACGTGGGACTTTTTGGCGGGATCGGGAAGCGTCACTTTAGCAGTTTTGTTTTTCTTGTTAAAAATTGTGTTGTGGCGGATGTTAGTGTCTAATAATGGTGGATTATTAACCACTTAGTGTTCGGAAACATGCACAAGTGTTGGCAAGTGAAACAAAATAGCGGAAAGTGTCTTTCGACGTTCCCTCGAGAAGTCCACGGGGAGGTTCCAGTAAATCCCCACACATTTACTGAAACATAGGGAAAGGGGGATTGACTTGACTGCCACTTACTTTGTCTTCACTAATATTTTGACCACGAGTGCTAAAGAATATGTAAACATTTTACACTTGACATTGGCTAAATGCACAAACCGTGCGATGACATATAGAAAAAAAACAACCACGTGACACGGTTGAAAGGAGGGAACACTATTTAAGATTTGGGGGTAGTTCGTTTTTGAATTTGCTCCGTGGATTATAAACAGTCGTTCGGAACGTTACTATATTCATTTGATTTTGAAATACGTTTTATATTGGAATTTGTGTAGCAAACATTTGATCGTAAATTGTTATTTATAGTGTACTAGCTGTCCCAGCGAACTTCGTACCGCCATAAAAAAATAGGGGTTGGTGGTAGAAAGTTGAAAATTTAGGGATGTATGTATTTTTGTATGCTGTACTTATCATAAAAAAAATATCTAACATTTAAAAAAAAATAGGGGTGGATTACCCTTAACATTTAGGGGGATGAGAAATAGATTACATCCGATTCTCAGACCTACTGAATATGCATATAAAATTTCACGAAAATCGGTCGAGCCGTTTCGGAGGAGTTTAACCACAAACACCGCGACACGAGAATTTTATATATTAAATTAAAAATAAAGAATTCGATTAGTTCGCAAGTGTTTATTTCAGCTTTTAAGTACATATGGTGGTGGAGTAAGCGATACTAGTACAAGTACACAAGTGTAATAGATAAATTCTTTAAGAATAGCCAAGAGTTTGTAAAGATCAACTCCGCACGAATATCATACAACGTTTTTCAACATATTTGCGAGAAAAGAGTACCTATATAAAGCGATTCAAATAAGAATAGGAAAACCAATGACCTCCAATTGTCAAATGTCACTTGAAAAGTACGGTTTGCAAAAAAAAACTTGGAAGCCTTTTTTAGCACTCCGCTAATTCAAAAATAAAAATCAAACATTTGAGCTTTGGCCATGAATGGTAGATAACCTAAATCGTCAACCAAATGCCACTTTAAGTTGCGTTCAGAAACACGATTTCAAACTTTCGTTTGCATAAAGGATGCATGTTCGTATGTGACCTAGTAATGGTGCATGATTATTCATAACTACTCCGGCGGTAATGCAGAGATGAGCGGAATAGAAGAGCTAGATAGTGATTAATGATTTTTCTCAGTCTATAATAAATATTATTAAAAATCGGGGGAGGGGGGGGGGGGGCTCAATCTTAGTAAATAATGTTATAAAAAAATCTGATACTTTTTCTCACTTAACCTTAGTAAATAAGTTTTATTAAATAAAAACTATTTTTTTGCTCACTCTACCTATTTGGTTTGAATTAACAGATATGACGTCACAATATGGCGCCCAGTCGGTCCTATTCTTAGTTGAATCGCATTATACATAATTTTAGTAATGAAGCAAACTTTTTCTAGTAATAAAATGGCGTGCATTTCCAAATGAAATGAGAACTACATCTTTCGTCCCTTTTTCTTTTTAGTATTAAAGTGAAACAAAGGTATGGATTAAAAGCGGTTTGACCGAAATTATAAAAAAGACGATACTATCAATAGTATAGTATATCGATAGCACAGAAAAAGCCAATACTATCGGACGAGTTAAATAATATCGATAATATCGATAGCATTGTAGTTCGTTAATAACAAACTATCGATAGTATCGATACTGTCGATTTTATTTGCAACCAAACTATCGATAGTTTAACAATTTGCAATGGTATTGTTTGTAATTTTCAGGTATAACAGTCAATCACAAACTTAAGTCTTAAAACAATCGCTAGTAACGATTGTATTGTTGCAGTATCAAAATCAACAGTATCGATAGTATCGATATTATCA